AAGATGCCTGGTGTTAGGATGCCTGGTGTTAAGATGCCTGGTGTTAGGATGCCTGGTGTTAGGATGTCTGGTGTTAGGATGCCTGGCACAGCTGATTAGCTAATTAAAACAATCCAACAATCCAACAGTGGAGAAAACCGCAAGGCCCGAGTGAGACCCAATTACCTGGCAGGATGGGATGTTTTTGGGGAGACATTGGTAACTCCCAGGAGTAATAAGGCTCTGAACCAAAATTTTCAAGCAGGTAGCTGTGTGAGAGATGGGGGGGAGTGTATCTTCATAACTTCCACCTGGGGTGGTGGGGGCGGGGGGGGGTGAGAGTTGTGCTATAAGAACCCGGCCGAAGGAACCTTCCTTTCTCTGTCTTTAATGTGCCACCAGATGTTGGCACCAGTTTCTCCATAAGATTAAGCACGACTAGTGGAACCTTGTGGAACCAAGAAAAGCATGAACCCAAACTATATTTTTGGTAAATCAAAGAAGAACCAATGATTTGTGGGCTTTTGGGGCAGCCAGTCACTGGGGTGGGACTTTCAGAGAAAAGACTCGGGGAAGGGTATCTGGTTGACTTAAGCCACTCAGGTGAGACAGTGAATAATTGGATAAGATCCTGACCCAATTTCCCCAAAACTTTCTCTTTTCACTCTCCCTCTGTTTCACTCTCTGTTACTGACTCTCTGCTTTCTTTCTTGACAGCTCTCCACTGCCTCTCCCAGGGTTCTTTCCTTCTTTCTGTATCTATTTCTCTCTCCTTTTTGTCTCCACAGCTCTCCTCTCTGTCTCTGCCTTTCTCCTCCCTGTTTCCTTTTATCTGTCTCTGTTTCTTTCCGCTGTTTCTGGCATATCCATCCATGTGCGGCTTCCCCCCCCCCCCTCACACACCAGGGCTCCCAATCTGCCTCCATGGGTGCTGGCTGAGGTCTTCAACCCACCCCTTGTGCTGCTGTTCTCAGCTGAGCTGCCACGTTTGTGTTGGCAGGCACGGAAAGCGGCGCCATGGTGGCAAATCACAGGTCATCTTCTGGTGCCGCAAAGCAAACCTTCTTGGCCGCTCGATGAGCGAGATGTTCCAAGTCACCCCAAAAACAAATATTCAGGGTGAATCCTGCCATGCTATACAAACAGTGGGCAGCTATGTGTGGATTCTCATCTGATCCCCCCACCCCTGGTTGAACGGGGGGAGGAGGACTAGGAGATGAATGGAACAGGGAACTGGAGATCTGTCATGAGAACAGGAAGGGTGCACAGTACAAGCTACTAAGTCTGAAAAGGCACAATCCAGACAGGAAGCCTCCTCTGCCTGCAGGGGAACTGATAAAGGCGCAAACTGTAGGTTTCTACTCTAATGAAATCACAACACTCCAAGGAAGGGAGATGCCAAAACAGGTCCTTCTAAACGGGCCGACATGTCATTATTCATAACACCAAACCCAATGAAGGAGCCAGAGGTACAATGCCCCCCACAAACCATGTCTACTCCACTGCCTCCATCCTGCCACATGGGGACCTCAGGTGGGCCTCACTTCCCCCTCCAGTGCCCGGGGAAAGCCTCTCACCTTTCCGTTAGAGCTGGAGGGTCATACCCCAGGACCGCAAGGGGACAGAGGGGCGATTCTTGCCTCTAGAATCAAAGACGGAACCGGCAAAAACATCCGTTATGAACCCCTTGAGTATGACACCGACAGGACCCACGAAACAGACTCGCCACTCTGCACAACAGCCCTACTTGTCTGGAAATTTTCCCGGGGGGGGGGAATAAGGAAATGAAGAATAACTCAACGGCGGTAGTGTTCCCTTTCGGGTCAATAAAGGCGCCACACAACTGATAATCCCCTAGATGACCGTTTCACATTGCTGAATAAAGGTGCACCCAACAGAGATGAGCTCCAACATTACTCTTCTTGCCCCCCCCCCCCCCCCCCTTTTAATGCAAGAGAAGTATTTTCTAATACTTTTTTGTCCCAACTGGCTCCCCAGGCTAGTGAATCTTCCTGGATGGAGATCAAGGGAGATCCATTGAACTCCATTACTGTGTTAGCTCTCTGACCACATATTCCTCTGGCCCATTATAAGTGAATCAGTGTCCTCCTCCTGTACAGCTTCCTGTTTCTCACAAGAGGAAGTTTGACACCATCGACTCAGATCAGATGAGAAGAGATGTGACTGTCTGGACACTGTGACAGAAAATACTGTATACTAAATATCAGTGCTTCCATCCATCCATCCATTTTCTGAAACCACTTGTCCAATTTAGGGGGGTCCAAAGCCCATCCCAAAGGCTGGGGGCACAAGGTAGGGAACAACCCAGAATGGGGGGCATAAAGCTTATACTATTTTCTATCTCTCATTTCAATTCACATTTCCCATGAGACCTGTCTTTTCCATTTACATCCCAGCATACTGCAGTAACACAGTGATTAATACTAATAGTTTGGAGGCCTGTCGTTCTAATTTTAGTTGTCATGCTTGGTTTTCATTGACAGATCTCCCAAGCACCTTATTGCTACACTCCTTTTAATTAAAAAACGGTAATCAAATTCTGGTAATCAGAGAACGCAGTTAACGTGGCAGAATCTCACAAGCTTGAAGAACAGACTGCAGCACTGCAAGATGGAATTAGAGTAATCGAGAAAGAGGGAGGTCGCTGGCGGCCTGTTCGTAGAGAGCAGATCACATAAAGAACACCAACTCCCTCAAGCACCTTCTGTCAGAAGAACTCCTTTCATTATTGTGTCAGGAAGATCCTATTTCTTGGGTTAACTAGGGTTGCAGGGGGATACTGGAGGAATATAGGTATCCTATGTCTATGTCACTCTGGTTGGAGCTGATCATTCTTGGGCACCAGAAGAATGCATCGGTCACATAAAATCATGTCCTTCTACAGGTTCCCAAATACACTATTCCAGTTGACACTAGTACTAGGCCATATACTGATACATTACACCTGTTTCCATTTATTAAGATCCACAGCAAATTCTCCTTCTCCAGACAAATATACTTCAATGTCATCTCACTCCTCCTTTCGTGCATGTATAACCCATATCTTCTGGGCAACTGGGACATTTCGGATCATCACTCTTCCATTTCCTGTGGTTTCCACTTCTTCAGCACCGCCAAAAGCAACTGGACAGTGCTGAGCCTCTCCCCATCTGTCCCTCCCTCAACCCCTTCTCTCCATCTCACTTCCGCACCCCCACACTAAACCTTCGCCCCCCTCCCATCTCACATCTAGTCAATACCGATCCTCTGTGCACTCGATCCGTGGCTGACTTCTGCATGCATCTTTTGTTAAACAGGCTTGCAGAAATCCGGAATTCCAATCATTTCATTTCTTGTTCCTTTTCCCAAACTCAATTTTTCAAAGACTTCCACATTGCTTTTAGACAAAGGAGGTCTACGAAACATGCAAACAAGTCCCACAAGTCTTTCATCGATGCGATTCCTTTCTCATTCTATTGAAATGTCTGAGTCTAAAAGTTCCTACACTTATGAACAATGTGTCTGTAGTGAAAAGTGCCTTTTTTTGACTCCAGGCACCTTCACTTGTCTTTTCACAAAAAAATATGAGTGATAACCTGTATCTTATTTATGCTCAGGGTGAAGCTCACAGATTTTGCTCTGATGCTTACTCCCCTACGCAGTCTCTGTTACCATGGAAACTCTTTTCAGAGAGGTGAAGGAGGGGACAGACTACGTTGATCACGGCCGCTCACTGTAGCTCGTGGAATGCCGGTGAACCCATCGCTAATACCTTCAAATCCCAAGTGAATTTGTGCGAAACACGCCCCTTAAATCAGCTCCAGATCAGGAGACTCCTACACAAATGAATAAATTTAATGGTTGTGCTGCCAGCTTGAGCAATAGCTGTATCTTAATCATATTATGGCATGGTATTATGTCTGACATCTCAATAAAATAAATATGAGCTTTTCTGGACATTTTCCACAACCCTGCAAAAATTCCACCTCACACCACAAGCAATGGCAAGGAACAATTAATTGGGGAACTCCCCAAAGCGATATTTCAATTTATATAAAACCATAAGGTGAATGCATAAATAATCCCTACCTCAAGGAAACAGGTTCCCACTTCGACGTTCTCATTGATGGACACGTTGTAGAAACTGCCCGCGAAAACGGGCTTGTTGTCATTCATATCCTGCAAGATGATGTCAACCACGGCGGTGGAGGACAAGGGTGGACGGCCCCCATCAGTGGCCACCACCGTTACTTGGGGCCTGGGGTCCATCTCAAAATCTAGCTGCATTGCTGTGGTGATTATCCCCGTCACTGGGTCGATCGAGAACCAATCTGAGTGGGTGCCAGAGTTCTGGAGAATGCTGTATTGGATGTCCCCATTGGGGCCCTGGTCTTTGTCCCTTGCGGTGACCTGCAGGACGAAGCTCCCGGGATAGACCACCTCTGAAATGGCCTGTTTGTAGGCCTGCTGGTCAAAGAGAGGGGGGTTGTCATTTATGTCGGTAACTTGGATGGTGAAGGAGGACTCGGCCCTCAGGGGTGGCGTGCCAGAGTCTGTGGCCATCACTCTTAGCTCATAGGAGTCCCTTTCCTCACGGTCCAACACCTGGTCCACGCAGATGAGGTAAATGATGCTGTCCTTGGTTGTCAGGGCAAATTTGCCATCGCCACCCTCAAGAGACACGTTGACATTAGCATATTCCCCGTAGTCCGGGTCTGAGACAGAGATTCGGGCCACGTATTGGCCAGGCTGTGCCCCCTCTGAGATTCGGGGCGAGCCATCTTCACTGAGGAAGATGATGGTCATGGTGGGCTGGTTGTCATTGTAGTCACGAACATGGATGGTCACAAAGGCGTTTGTCACCTCTGGCTGGCTCGCATTGTCGCGGGCTTGAACAACCAGCTCATGGACCTTCCGTATCTCATAGTCCAGTGGCTTGTTGAGGGTGATCATCCCAGAACGAGGATCGATAACAAAGTAGTTCTCTGGGTCACTCTGTCTCCTATTTATCTCATATAGCACCAGTCCATTGTCACCCTCATCTTCATCAGAAGCATATACCTGTAGGATGTTGCTACCGGGCTGCATGCTCTCTGAGATGATGGCATGATAGCGGCTCTGGTTGAAGACAGGCGCATGATCATTGATGTCCTGCACGAAGACATCTAAGACCATCTGCCCTGTTCTCTTGGGAGAGCCCCCGTCAAAAGCCTCTAGCAACAAACTGTAGGAAGACCGTTTCTCTCTGTCCAAAACGGCATTGACGACCAGGTCCAAATAGAGTACTTTGTTGGATCCCCTTTTGGTATCTAAGCGGAAAGCCTGCCCCACGTTCCCGTCTTTTATTTGGTAACCCTGAGTGGTCAGCTGGTCTTTGTCTGCATCAGTGGCAGGCTCCAAGGAGAACTTTGTACCCACTGCTGTCTGTTCTGGAATTTTGAGGACCGTCCTCTCCCGCGGGAATTCTGGTGCGTGATCATTGATATCATTCACCACAATAGACACCTTCACCGTCACCCCTGATGTGGTGACAGCAATAAAACTGTAGTGGTCCCGCACCTCCCGGTCCAGGACGCGGGCTGTCTTGATGATGCCCTTGGTCTCATCAATATCCAGGTCACTTCCAACTCCAGTACCCTCTTGGTCTGCGATAAAGAACAGCGTTGCCGTGACTCCTGGGGGCAGGCCGGCGCTGATGTCACCCACGATGGTACCCGCCGGTTGCTCTTCGTCCAGCTGCAGCTCCAGAGTGCCGAGGACAGCTGTGGCGTGGGTCGCAATAAGCTCCAGAGTCACGTACAGCAGCAGCAGCATCCTCTGGTTCCAGGTGCCACGTTTATGCAACTGAGCCATCAGCACCTTCCCCAATCCCTCAGACATCGTCTTCATGCCGACCACTTCTCCCTAAGCCTGCAGGAACGATGCGGTAACAAAACATTATGAGCGCCAGTGGTTCTATTAAGAGAAAGTATAAACAGTCATGCATAGTGAATGCATCTTACACATGTGCACGCACTTAAGCAATGAATAAGATCCCTGGAATACACAGCAAATATCAACAGCATAATGTGGCAAGGATTGTTTGTGGGTAATAGAAGTGCTCTCTTGCGATTAGACAGGAGCCTTTGAGACTTCATCCATAGCTTTTCATCTTACTATTTCAAACAGTGTAATGAATCTAAAACAATTCACCAGTGTCACACAGACACCCGCAAACACACACAGACACCCGCAAGCACACACAGACACCCGCAAACACACACACAAGAAACCTTGACGAAGGAGTTTAATTTACAAAGATATGCAGCTTGATTTATATCCAATAATTTAAGATGACAAGTCGAAGCAATAATTCCTGAGCATTAAATAAGCTCAGACAAGATTTTGGGACCCTGGAGTCCACCCCCCCCCCCCGCACAAAACCAGCCCCACACTTGGGGCAAAGGTAGGGGTCTTCTTAATAAGAACTCTGAGCCGAGAGGAACCTGGTGTTCCGGAAGCCTCCTTTCAGAGACCCAAAGTGCTCCCTGGGTATTCATCCAGCTCAGGAGGTGTCAACTTGAAGAATGTGGTCCTCCGGTACCATATGTGGAAATGTGTTGGGGGGGGGCAGTGGTGGGTACCTCAACACGGCAGGTCTTATTTCACCCTGTCGCTTTTTTAAATATTCTGCTCTCCCATTTTCAAAACTTTATCAATCCATACAAGAAACTGCACAACAGCTACTCACTGCTGCTGGACTCATAAGTTAGCAACCGAGAGACCTGATAGGCTGTTCTAGGCTGCACTGATAAATCGCATGTTCGCGTAATAGTTTGACCGAGCATCATACAGATCCTCTGGGCATGTTCTCCACAGGACAGCAGCCACTAGACATCCCTAAAGCTTTGGGAATTCTCTCCTTGCCTGTAGCTTTTCTCATCAGCTCCACACAGTATAGATGCCATAGATATTCCCTTTGCATTCCACACACTTGCCCATTCTTCACGTGCGTGTCTACTCCCCTGTCAGCACTTTTACATCACAGCTGCTTGCACTGTTGATAAAGTTTGAAGTTAAATGCAGGTGTGCCCCCCCCCCCCCCCCCCCCCCCCCAAAAAAAAAAACCCCCCCCCCCCCCCCCCCCCCCACAATAAATCCACTTCTTTCCAGAGGTTCTGGGTGAATGACTTTCCCATACACCAGCAGGACACTGAAGGACATCTGGAAGATAAATGGGCAAAGAAGGATCCTTATATAAATTTCACCCTCTGCCCCAATATACTCATATATGTATCCCTCTATGGTAACAGCCTCAGAACCGAAGCACCTTCAAATCCTTTGTGTTCTAATATATTTCCCAGAAGCCCCTGCATGGGTCACCCTATTTTCACACTCCAGGTATCCCCACTAAGCTCACAAAGACCACATCAACCACAAAAGCTTTATCTCCAGTCTGGCCCAGCTCCCAGCAGATACTGTCAGGAGCCTTTCTCCTGGTCAGCGAGATGGGAGAAGATGCTGGTGACACACCAGTGTTTCCCAATCGGAGACCCAGAGTCGGGCCATGTTTTCACTCCCTCAGAGCTCCCTGCCAGACAGCCCACTGGGAGCTGGGAGGAAGCAAGAACCTGAACTGTCTGTGGGTCCCCAAGGACCGGATTGGGAAACACCGCCTTACACCATCCCGAGTCGGCCACCCATTCTTATTTATATGAGTCTTTTACGACCTGCTATTTGTTTGAAAAATAAATCAGCTCAGCAGTTATAATCCCTTTAATCATAAATAAAATCCTGCAGAAAAGAGTAACAACAGTAAATTATTTCTGTGGCTTGCTACGACACGCTAACGGTCCAACTTCATTACCTACAATGCTGGGGGGGGGCAGCGGGGGAGGGATTCAGAGTGTAAAACGTTCAAGGAGCCAGTCAGCATATGCAAATGAAGGAGGCAGCCTTTATGACAAACCAGGGCACATAAAGGTGCATCTGTACACTGTACCACAACAGAAAAAAGCAGGCCATCCACAGATTTCATAGAGGCACACGCTGTCCCTACCGGGAAGAGAAACAGCACTGGTACCCATAACCCTTGTTACCAAATCCGCAACGTGTAAACAGAAGCTCCTCAAAATCTTCAGAAGTGAAGTCTGCTGTTTAACTCTTGCAAGTGGACACACTTCTGCACCCGGTACTCCTAGTGTGCACTGCCCCCCCACAACCCCCTTAATGAGAAAAGCAAGGCCCATTTCTGAAGGCCTTTGGCCTTGTCGAAAGCAGACGCTGCAGGTCTGGATAGCGCTGAGGAAGAAATCCATCTGGAGGTCCTCCAGAGACTGGTGAAACAGCATCTGAGCTTGCCAGAGACTGATAGGTTGGTTCCCCGGGTAGTAGCCTGGCCTGAGAAGACAGACCCGGGAGCCTGGGTTAGCGGGGCTGGCTCCGACTTCTGAGGGTCCAAGTCAGCTCAGAACCCCCGGCTCCAATTATGCTCACGCTCTGATTCGTTCAGATCAAAGTCCCCTTTAATTCATGCTGACAGACGGCAACACGTCAACTGCGTGTGAGCGGAACTCTAAGGGTGGACAGTAAACTCAAGTAATTGGCTGTCATCTGGGACGATGGTCTTAAGTTATAATATATGGAAAACACTTGGATACTGACTGTGGACCTTTCCAGAAACATAACTTGTATTTTCTGCCTGTTGTCTTATTGTTTGTTTTACAAAATTCTGCAAAGCAAGTAAAAAAAAGGGGGGGGGGAAAGAAAAGAAAACTAACATTTGTACAGCTCCTGGTTTTCCCTACCGGTCCCCAAAACCCATGCCAGCATACCTTCCCTCAAATTCTGCTACTTTCAAAAGGCCAAGACTGAGACAAGCTGGTACTCCGTGTCACTATGGAAACAAATACACCCCAGGAGAGACTTAAGCCATGCAGTGTTTGACGATCCAATTCTCCATCAGGCAACGAAATTTAAAAATGGATAGAAATCTTGGCTAAGAAAAATTCTATTCATCTAATATCTTCATTGTTTTAGACAGTAATGCAAGCATCTCTTGCATGATTCAGAACTGGGTTTTCAGGCAAATCAAGAATCCTGTGAGAACTGCTAAGCATTGTTCTGACTTCCATTGTCCTATCGGAGAAAAAACACGACTCTGTTAATCTACAGGGAATGCCTTAAATGAAACGTGTTTTTTTATCCTTTGAAGGACTGTCCCAATTTAATTTTTAAAAGACTCCAAATACCAACACGAAAGTTTCTCTTCACATGATTATGAATATTTAACTAGTAGAATAATCCCTAGTAGCGTGTTCGTGCGTCTGGGATACTAGCCAAAAAAACGACCATCTAGGTAAAAAGGCTATTTGGCTTATGGATGCGACTCCAAGAAAAGCTGATTTTGGAACTTCTATTTCATACAGATGGCGATCCTCGACAAGGCGAGTCTGCGCAGCTCCTCATATAACGGACGGCCAGTTGCACCGACTCGCCCAATTACAACAGCACTGACCCACAGGGCTTCCAGTGAGGATCCAGTGGTGACTGTTATCGCTAAAGGCGCTGAAAATCAGTTATACCTAATCCTGCATGCACCCCTAGACTGGAATCATATTGCATCACCTTTGCTTTCCTACACCTACGAAACTACCGATACATGCACAATATATAACCTTACAGCAGTTGGCAGAATAAAACGCTGCTGTTCTTGCAGCTGCAGCAGCGACGCTGCAGGCAGTCAGATACGCGTACGATCGAGTGTATAGTTCACTACCAGCCCGGATCGGTAGCCGTCTCTCTTTCAGGAAAACACCTTGATCCCGCTAGAGTTGCCGACATATGGTTCGAGTTAAGGGGCAGAGTCGGTTTTCATTATAGTGCCGCATCGCCGCTCCGGGAGAAACCGATCTGCCCACGAACGGTGACGGTAAACTCAAGCCACCCTAAATAATGAACCGCTGCACGACCCCACTCTCGTCGGAAAATGTCCTTGCAGGGAAATCATAAAGTTGATATATACTTCTTAAGTGGTAATATCATGCTGTGACTCGGGAGGAAAACGAATACAAGTTGTATAGGTCGAATTTTCTTTCTTTTTTGTTGACCAAGGCGACACATGTAATACTATCTAGGCAGCAGTTGTCTGAAGCTAAAATCTCAATCCGATTATTTCAGTGAGTAATGGAAGTGTGTAAAGAAAAAGGTTTGAGTTTGATTTTTATTGTATAACACGGGTCGATTTACGACACATTAGTTTAAACAATTGTAATTAATTTTAGATTAACTACACATCTGATGTGAGTTTGTCTTGTTTAAATTTTAAATGATAGCTTAATCAATTATATTAATGCATGGGTTTTGAATAGGCACCTTAATAAACCCTATGTGCTGTCCGGAATAAATGGGGAAACACTTCGCCTTTTGCGGAGAAGATGATGCCGCTTTTTGACAGACGCCGTTTTAAATCGATCTCAGCGAGTCAGGCCTTCTAAACGGCACAACGGACCACAAAGAGAGAGATATTGGGTAATTTCATTTAAATACCACTTCTATGTCATTGGCATGCTGGGGGTTTGTAGGTCCTGGCGTTTTCCCTGCTCCGTTTCGACCGCATGGCACACAAAATAATTTTGACAATTCAACAAATCGGTTCACTAACGTCACCTATTTTACTCAACGTGACAGTCATACAGGCAATTCAACAATAGGAGCCAAGCATGCAATCAAAACACCTCTGCAAAAAATATGCATATGGAATTAACGCATATGCATGTACCGGTGAAACATTTAATTGGTTATTTAGGTACCAGTGTAACACATTTCTTCCTCACACTAAAGTGTGACAGTGTCACCGGCGCAGTAAAATGCAGTTCGGTGAGATGATTAAACCTCGGGCGGCCAGTTTCGCTCCACGTGAAAGGAAAAATTCAGCGAGCTCTTACATTCATCTGCTCCTGCGCTGGATGTTAAGATGCGCGCTCCTCATCCACCAATAAATCCCGTTTGTATGCAGATACAGCTCCAGTACCTTTCCACCGCAGAGGAATCCAGTAAGCGTTCATTGAACAGACAACATTGGGTACTGGCTACAATATATCCATTCCGTGTGTTTTTACAGCCGATTTATAATGTAATGTCTTTGTTCCTGCGGTAAATATTTCCCTCTTTTCCGTTATTTTAGGGTCAGGTGGACGCGTGCTCTCCGGTGTGTAACGCCACCCCCGGTCTCTCTCCGCCTCTCCACCGGCTTGGCTTTCACTGCTCGCGCATCTGCACCCCGCCGCCACAGCATCCAGTCCGGCTTTGTGTCGAAGCTCGGCGGACACGCCGCATCTAGCCCGAGTGAAACCCGATATCGCGACAAGGCCAGCCTCCTTCCCCGCTCCGGGTAGCAAATTTATTCAACACGTGAAAAGCGGTGCGAAATGAGTAGGGAGCGAGGGGTGGGGGAAATGAGGGGAAGAGGGAAAAACGGGGTTTGTTCACGAAGACTTTAGTGCCACCAAGCTATACTGAGGGGAAGTGGTTTTAAACAAAGACCAGCTACAACCGGGAGTTAGTAATGATGCCTGTTAATTAGCTGGGGTTTATCACATTTTTTGCTTGTTAATTATCTGTAAAAATACAATGGTTTGTTTCTGTTTTTATTATAGAATATATTATTGTGAGTTTACATTAATAATTATCCACAAACACAGTGGTATACATATAAAGAAAGGGACTGTTTAACATTAAATGTCTCCTTATGTTCACATATATATTCATTAGTGCAAATAGGGGCATAGGCACCAATATTTAATTTGGAGTAATTAACCAACCCCCCAATATTAAACTCTCTCCTACACCTTTGAGTACAATTGCATTAGAAATTCTCTGTTCATGAGTTTTTATTACACCACTATCATCATCATCATCGTCAGGCTGCGTCTTTTGGCCTGGCTCATGGTAAATTGTAAGTGTCTTGTATTAAAATACAATCCATTCATCAAACCTCGAAGCGCATACCCAGGTCAGGGTCCCAGCACATGGCACACGGCTGGGGTACGTCCTTCATCTTATGCCAGTCCATTGCCGGCAAGGCACACGCATATACGATTACACCCTATGGGCAATTTACAGATGGCACTTAGCCAAAGTGCATGTTTTTTGGACTGAGGGAGAAAAACCGCACGGCACAAGCTAAATATGCAAGCTCCACCCACAAATGGGATTTAAACACTGCAGTCCAAGAGGCGAAGGGTGACTGTGCTACCCAAAGAGCCACCATGCCACCCATAATGCCGTGCAAGAGTAATTACTCACCCTAATATGCAAAGCACAGATATGAGTAGGAAACAGGGGGTGGGGGTTAAGTATTCTGCTACAGGCATGGGAGGTGAAGGTCTGAAGGTGGGCGTCCAGGTGGTAGAAAATATCTGGCTTTATAAATAGCTGAAACAGACCAGGCCGTTGGAGACACATTGGATGCAGACTGGGCCAGCTAGGCGGCAGTATGTAAATACTCAAGGCTTACTCTCAGTATACACTGTTAACATACGACTGTTAGACCACTTCATATATCATACATTCATCGACAGGCCCTGGTCTCATCTTAACAGGTTCAAAAATGCTGTAGGACATGGACTTAGTAGATGTATACACTGGCAGAAAAAGTAGTACCAATTTGTACCTTTGCTTGTTATGGAGCCGTACCCTCAAGGGTAATTTTACCTTTTAAGATACAGAAATGGACTCTGATGAACATTTCTATACCATTGATGGTACATTAATGTTGTTTGTACCTTGGGGATGTTCCTGAGCCCCAGTGACAGGCAAAGGGCCAAATTGGTGCCATTTTTTCTGACAGTGTACTTACATGTCAGACAGTTGGGTTGAGATAATACCAACCTATTTCTATGAAGCTTTTTTTTTTTACCTAATGATGTGGCTTCTTGCTTTATCTTATATGGTTTTGTTGAAATGTGAAATAGCAGGACCTATTCTCAGTCATGAACCTGCAGCTTTCAAGGTCACGAGGACTGTCCTCGAGCACCACGCTATCTCCTTCCCTGCCTGGATGCCGGCGTCTGTCATCGTATCCCACTCCTGCAGAGGGAGTATGACAGTACAGCGCTCACTGCCAAGGCCTCCACTGTCTCGTTCTCCATGTTCACCTCTGGCCTCCACCCAGGAGCGCCAGCGGGATGCTGCATCCATTAATCAGGCAGGATTTTAGGTCAGCTTTCCACCTGCTCCAGTGGAGCTGAACACTGCAGACCAGGCCAGACGAGTGTGGAAATGCCTGTGCAGGATGAACTGGGAACGCGTGGTTCCTCCAGGATCGCTGCATCGTACGCTTCTCGAAGCTCTAGGTGCATGACGTACCCCTAAGGAATCTGTGCATTGCCTTCCAAGTCGAATTGAACTTGAAGTGTCGGACATTTTACAACCATGTTGGACACAAAGTGCTTTACAGAGACGGATGGTAAATTTCTAAGAAGAAAAACAAAAACAGGAAACTCAGCACAAAAATATTCAGAAAGCTGAAAATTAATCGCAGCTGCAGATGAATTTCTTTGCGACTTTATAGATGAGAAGTAAATTGAATTACATTTACATTTGACAGCCAGCATAGGGAGGAGAGTGCAGGACTTTGTTTATACATATTTTGATTTTCGCAAGAGTTCTTGTTTATTAATTTTTTTCCCTTTGAAGATGCTTTAGGGAAGCATTTTACCTGCCAGATAGCAGTAATTTTTGCAGCTCCCGTACAATATCCAGTCTGAAATAAAAATGAATATAATTGCCAGTCATTTTGGACAAGATTTATCAGCTCGGTCATGCATTAATATCAAAAATTGAAGTTCACTGTTTAATATATTTATAGAAACATTTTAGATCACTGAGAAGGAATATAGCACACTTTATCTGCTCATGTTTTTTAAGGGTACCACAGTTATTGTGGATATAGTTAACCAGATAATTATAAAGACATTGCTTTAATGCAAAGCAGATGGAGCTTTTCAATGTTTTGCTGAAGGTCAGATGTAGTTTTCCTGAAGCACAGCGCAGAGTAACAAGGCTTCTGTAAATTTCCCTTTTACTGTTCCGAGTGACGGCGGAGAACGTGCCAAATTGTAGATGCAAGATGACTGACGGACCTTTAAGCATTTTTATACGCCTTAATTCTGTCTGTGATGTAAAAGGCTGTAGTGCTGATTGTCTAACCTTGCCTCGTGCCTTTAGCTATTTCGAGCAGCCTGGGTTTACTGTACTGGGTACCAAAAAGCCGCAAGAGTTTCTTGGAGGCCAGATGCTGGAGTCAGCAGCTGTTACAGAGCGTGTAGAACCACACACATACATCTCTTTTACAGGGCACTACAGATAATCATTTAGATGTCTTGAATATAACCTTGTTTCAAGCTTAAGAGGTTTTGTGGCAGTAGAATCATTACTGTATGTTAGTTAGCTCAAAGAAGAATGTTCAGATGAATTAACTGTTGCATATTAAGATATAACTGCAATGATACTGTACTGCAGGGCTCTTCAAATCTGGACCTCGATTCCAAATCCAGGCCTTGTTTTCAGTTCTCCCAGGTAGTTAGTTTAATAATTACTGATTCTGATTGGTCAGATGCTTCACACCTGGCTCACAGGTAAAGGAAGGCTGGAAAACCAGCAGTGCTCGGACCTCGAGGACCGTGATTTGAATAACCCTGCTGTACTGGATATGCAGTATGGAAGTTGAAGGGAAGGCAAGTTAATTTATATAGCACCTTTCATACACTGTGGTCATTCAAAGTGTTTTACACATAAGAAAAATACAGAATGCAAAGAAAATTCAAATTAAAGCGACATAATTTAAAAACATGATTGGATGATAGAATGGATAGATGGACAGATATTAAGAAATAATGTTTCTTGTGTTTTGACGCCGCCCACTATAGTAATATCCCTTGGCGTAGGGTTAGTGTGAGGCCACAAATTTGCATTGGTGAAATGAAAAACTTTCTCAGGCGAGAAACCCCTGTGTTTACAATGCAAAGGTAAAAAGTTCGGGGTCGTTTTCACGGTGGCCTTGTTCAAAAACTTGATCTCAGTGTTTACCCAAAGGGTGTCCTCTTCACAGTGCATAAGACTGTGATCTTTCACAGACCCCGACTGGCCAATATTTGACCAAAACTTACAGTTTTGGGCAAAGGGATTGCATAAATGTACCATCATATGGGGCTGAATAATGCATCGCTCTTTTGGAGAATCAATAGCTTAATCCAGGCAAAAAGGCTTTTGGTATTATTTCTACATAGCATTTGAATAAATCAAAGGGAAAGCTGAGTGCCACACACTGCACCATGTGACCAGGCCCATACTTCTATTTTATCTATGACTAAACAACCTGCCTGAGCAAATAATCTATCTGCTCATTTATTTATCTGCCACTGCCACTGTCAGCCGCTTTCCAGCGTCCGTTCCAAGCAGGTGTCCCCAGCAATCAGCCTCGTACTTCCTTCCCGTGGAGCAAAGGAATGAGGTCACGCCTTGTGCGTGCGCCACTCACAGAGGGGGGGAGAGAGTCCACTTCCAGTGGCGTTTCCTGGCCTTCTTCCCAGCCATTTGCTTCTCCAGACTCCCATTCTCCTGTCTGGAGGATAATGGCAATAGGGGAAAAAAAAACTAAACACACTAAAAGGGAATTGAGACTTAATGGTAGGTGGAAGGGGGACGATTTGAGTCCACCTCAAATTCAGCACACATGTCAGGCTAAGAAAAATGGGAAATAAAATTCAAGCAAAAGCCCAGATGGGCCACGATACAAGGGTTCGACTTGAGAGCAAGGGCAGGCTTGGCATCTCCGGAAGCATTTAAGTGAAACGTAAACTTATACATCTCTACTGAACTGACAGCTGAAAATAAGGGTGCATTTATCCTCCGGTCTTGCCTGAGGCGCAGCGACAGGACAGACAATGGCCTCGGGGCCCCGAGCTGGGAGGGGGGCCCCCGAGGGTGGCAGATTACATCGTACATCGCGACGGCAAATCTGCTTTATTTATGTATTCAGTTTTTCACAAAACTGAAAATTGATCTGCTTATTAAATTCCATTTGTTGGTATTATTAATTAATTTACACTTAACAGTAAAATAAGGGTAATAAATGTTACCATGTTGAGTGGGTGGAGCTGCAGGGCCCTCTGAGTCTTGCCCATTATACACAGCGTTGACTTAAATAAATGAAAACATTACGGTGAGATCAAGGTGGAACAGCTAGCAATCTGATTCAGCCTTATTAGATTCTTACTGTGTTGGAAGATGTTGTGTAGCTTCTGTTACAATAATGCAGACACTTGTACCTGGGCAGTCATTGTTACCTCAGCCTAGATTCACTTATGTCCAGTCGACTCCTCAACAGCATGTATGTGTGTAATGTCCTCTTTGCCTCACTTGCGCATTGCTTTGGACAAAA